GTGTGGTGTGTGTGTGGAGGGGGGGGGGGTGAATAGGTTTTCGGATCGTCGGATTTCACAGAAAAAATTGTCCGTATTTCGGATCTGGCGAATGTTTTACACAGATTTCGGATCTTATTAATACAGCAGATTGCAGATTTATCTAATATTTTGGCTCGGATCGCGGATTTTGCTTCAAATCGGTGGATTTGTATACCCCTATTCACCCCCCCTGTGTTGGTATATTATCATCCAAAGGTCGTAGGTTGGATTCCCACCGTGGTCAGGCATATTTTTCAAGCTTGCCCGGTGTGGATATTAACACTCAGAGTAACATCACTTGTAAGCATCTTATTCACCTGAGTACATTACGCCAACACAGAAAAAAAATTCATGATTACTAGATTATATTTGTAAAATGTGCCAAAATTCACGAGCCGCCGGGGCAAGCGTTTTAATCATTAATTGCACTTCTTCCTATGTGATTACTTATAAATACGTATTTGCAAAAACTGGGGAAGATTATGGCTGATTCATGCGCCAAGAGGTTATGCTGTCTCGGCTGGCAGTTTCCATATATAAACAGCCCTTTAGTCCTCTTTTCACATGACCCCAATGGGGAGAGTAATGCCTAATCTACGTATTAATGAGGGACGGGGTGGTGGTTGAAGTCTGTTTCAAAGGTAACTAATTTCAGTTCTTGTTACATAATATTCACTTGACATACCGTAGCTTGAGAAAATTTAATGCTGATTCACTTATTGAAAGGGTGGTGCCATCTGTCTCAATGCTGGCAAAATTTTCAATAATGGCACTGGCTATCCCTTTGGAGTCAAAAATGTCCATACAATACATCCTTTATGATCATATTTAGGTTATTTGGACATAGTGTTTTATTGTATAATTATACAGGATTGAAAATTGTTTATTCTCTATATATTGTCATTGATAAAATTAGGCTAACAAATTAAAATTTGCATCCCAATTAGTTACCTTAATGAATATAAACAATAAACATGGAAATAAAACTTAGTAAAATGTTTTTGATGTACGTTACTCTGAGTGTATATTATACACACACAAAAATATCAAAACTTAGTAAAAACGATGTTATGATAAAGTCCAACATGCAGCTACACATGATACACTTATCATGATGTATGAATTATATTTAACAATTAAAATATAAAACTTTTTCCGTGTTGATATACAGTTCTATCAGCATGAGTGGAAATTGGGAAAACTCAAATTTAGAGTTTTCCCAATTTCCACGAGTGTTGATATAACTGTATATCAATAGGGAAAAAATGTTTTATATATTTTTTATAATTGTTGACATTGAGTTATATCAGCACGGCTCTTAGCCAATCAGCGTTCAGAATTTACAACAAGTTTGAGTTTTCCCAATTTCCACACAATTTCGAGTTTTCCCAATTTCCACGAGTGTTGATATAACTGTATATCAATACGGAAAAAAATGTTTTATATTTTTTTTATAATTGTTGACATTAAGTTATATCAACACGGCTCTTAGCCAATCAGCGTTAAGAATTTACAAATGCTATATTATAAAACTTAATGTATAAGCGTCTTATTCAGTTGTTTAAGCGTCTTATTAGAATTGATTACATTTCATGCAATAGAAAGAATCAGTTTATATACGTCACTAGATCTATAAGTGTTAAACAATTGATACTTCAGTTGACCTTGACAGATCTCGAATGTTCAAATATTTCCAATGTTTAGTGATTTCCTTAGTTAGGGACAGGTGGCGGTATAAGGGTAGCTCTTGTAAGAGAGGTTGGATTTCCTGTAGATGGTAAAGGTATTTCATTCTCACGAGCAACAAGACGCAGGTTTAGGGTCACGGCTATGGAAGGATCAATCGGAAACCCCTGTTCTTTCCCAAATTCCTGATCGCTCTCGCCTTCCAAGGTGGATGCTCCAGCCCTCCACTCAATATTCTTCTTTGAGGATGCATTTTTCTTACGACTCGTATAGAATATGCCTCCAATCCCACCAACGTACACATTAACTCGAGATCCATCACAGACACCATAGTCAACAAGTTTTGCCCCTCTTTTTCCCAATGGTTTCCACGCATTGATCATGATGGTCACGACGGCGTTACCGAATACTTGGGAGACCATTTTATATAACTGAACATCAGTAACTTGTGTCGAACAGGATATTGTTTGCGTTGTAGAGCCTGATGCTACGCAGGTGATTTTCATATCTGTTCTCTCGGGAGTGAATTTGACTTGCATTACACCATTTTTATCCTTACGCCATTTGTTGATACCGGATTCGGCGGGTGCATCGCGAATTGCAAAGAATTTGAACTTTTTGGCTACTCTTGATGGTCGATCTAATGTGCACGTTTGTTTTGGGAGCAATATCAGTGCATCTGGAAACATTTCATAGCCGTCGAGCTGAACGTGCACTTCACATCGGTTGCTGTTTTGGTTGACCAAAGTCAGACTGTAGTTTGATCCACTTCTAACTTCTACGAATTCGCCCTGTCTCGTATCAAAATGACGACCTTTGTCAATTGAAACACTGTAGCCATCTTTCTCGAGACTGTTGTCTGATCTCGGCTTTAAAGGGAATTTTGTATCTGCGTCTTCGTATTCATCAAGCATCTCGACCATTTTAGGCCTATCAATAGCTTCAAGGTATTCACGAAGTCCATCAAGCTTGTCTGGTGCAAGAAGACCGCGGTCTTCCAAGGCTGAAAACACATCGAATGGCTGGCAAAGTCCTTCCATGTTGCGAGCAGGGATGACGTCTTTCAACGTGAATTTCAGTTCATTTAAATCGTCTTCTTTGAATTTTCGGCCTAGTTCTAAGAGAAAGGCACGGTAGCCACTCTTGGGAGTAGGTATTACACCGTCAGAACTTAAAATATCGCATAGATATGACATCTTTTTTAGAAATAATTATTTTTGCAAACCTTTGAATGGTATTGTTTGTCTATTACGCTTTCGATTGTGAGGGAAATTCCCTTGACCTTGCAGCTTAGAAGCGAAATGTTTGCTGGGAAGACTAGCAGGAATGCAGGGTCAATCGACAATCTAGTTGCGACTAGCTTTTAATATGGTGCCGTGCTACGACGTTTGCCTTTCGAGTTGGCAGACCCAGATTCAATCCTTGGTCGCACCTCTACACAAGGTCTTAAATAATTGAGGAGAAAGTGCTACCATTGCAATGACATGGTTAGACTTTAGCGTCTCCTCGGTTAAAACTCTTTGTCGACAGGCCGGTTTTGCATTACATTACGACTCAATTTGTCTGATGTAAATATCTCGGCGAGTATTTACCCCCCTTTTAAATAAAAGCTACCATTGAAATCCTCACAAAATAATCTTTCGAACGGGGGGGGGGGGTCAAGTGCCGTCAAAACATTACACAAACCGAAACAATCGTATATTTACTCACCGCTTGGCCAAAGATTCTAAATTTCATATCCAGAAAATCTTGAATATCTCCTGAACTCTTCGGAATTCCCAACAAGTCAATCCGAGTGAAATACTCCTTGTATTCAAGCGCTTTCGTGTACAAAATTTCGTTTGAATACCGGCGAGTAGAAATATTTTAATATTCTGAATTTTTCAAGATGTTCGGTTTTACTCGCACGCGCGTAAATTGCGCAATATTGGCCAATAAGAAGCTCCTGTGGCCGGGATGACGTCAAACTCATGCGTGTAGGTGTAATTTGACCTTCCGAATCCATTTCTGGCATTTACAGTGTCATCCGATACAAACGTCGCATTGTTTTGACGTTTTTTAGTCATATTTCCGGTTGGGATTAGCTCATTTAGGGGCGGACCATTAGAAATCCCGGGAGGGGGGGGGGGAAAATTCCCCCCAAAAAATTCGTGCAAA